TCTCTCTCACACACACACACACACACACACACACACACAGTCTCTCACTCTGTCTGTCTCTCTCACACACACACACACACACACACACACACACACACACACACACACACACACACCAATTGCATTTAACTGTATATGTTTATATGTGTACATCCGCAATCAAGATATTTAAGCTCTGAGAACATCGACTTAAATATCAATCGGTTGGCTTATTTCCTCTAGTTAGTTAGTGTGCATTTGCTAAGTATGCGCTGCTCTTAATGTACAGACATAGAAATAGACTTGTATTTCTATGTCGGTTAACCAGACAAGAATATTGACGTTGTTGTCATGGATGCACGACAGTAACATAAGAGGATGTGAAATGTAACCCACTTCCTGTCCGTTGAGCTAACGGATGGTAAGTGTTGAAAGACAGCCATGCTTTACCTTCGACTGGCTGATAGATAAAGGAAGCTGTGGTCGTCGTCACTCATATTGTTTACTGTCGTCTGTTTCCGGAACAAAGACACAGACAAGTTTTGGCAATCTTCTGTAATCTGATTAGAGACACGCTTTGAAAGGTCAGCTGCAAACTACAGATTTAATTTGAAATATGAGAGCAATGACTGCATGGATGAGGAGGACAGCTTCATCCTGTCGCAGGGAAACAATCTGTGGCAGGGAAATGCACTTTGAGGGTGTGTGGTTCATTCTTTTCTATTGGTTCACGCTGTAAGGATAAATCAAATGTTATTATTATATATATTGTTTTAAATGTAGATTTTAGGATTATCATTATTATTTATTTGGGGTAATGCAGTGTTACAGTATGTATATTCTTCCTTATTATTTCTTTCTTTCTGTCTTTTTTTATTATCAAGTTTGTTCAGATCAATTTTTTAAATCTTTAGAAGCAAAATTCCTACAAAATGTTATTTAGCCCTGACCAGGGGACAATAGCAAGTAGAGGCCACAGAAACATTGAATTGCACCGCTGTGTTGTTTTTTAAACGTATAATTCATTCTTATTTAATTAATTGTAGTTTATTTTGGTCAGAAAATGCAAAAACAAACAATACGCCCACATCAGAAAACACTCACGGTACGTCCACACGGCAGCATCGCGTAGAAGCTTGCCGGTGGGCGTGTCTGGCGTGCGATCAACAACCAATCACATGAATCTCCCGCCCCGGACACACAAGCACGCGGTTTGATTGGCTAGAGCTTGTACTTACTAGCATATGATTTGATTGGCTGCCGCTTCCGTCGACGCTTGAAAAGTTGAACTTTTCTCAACTTTCGAAGCGAGCAACGGAGGCAAAGCGACGCAGTGGAACCACAATGCAGTTCGGCAAAGCGTGACGTCACCCCATGCAAAGTGAATGGGAAGCGTCTCCGTTGAAGCACGCGACGCTGCTGTGTGGACGTACCGTGACTCGGCAAACAGTGATTTTATATAACCATTAATCAAGTGTAACCTACAATATTTAAAAGTTATATTCCTGAGTATCAGTGTTTTTATAGACACATTTCTAATTCCATCGCCTTTCTTTGACCTTTCACATGCATATTTCTGCTCGTAGCCTGGTGTTATTTTCTGACCCACATTCTGCTCCACACTTCCCCTTCCCTTTGGAAAGTCCTGTGTGTTGGTTTTAAGATCACATGATCAGACCAAACAGATGGTGTGAGTCTCACTACTGACTGTAACCTTACATTCATCACACGTCCCACTGTAGTTTTAATCAAACACACAGCAGGAAGTAGTGCATTTGTTGGGGACTATTTTCAGCGGCGGATGAATATACAGTTAGTCCTCTAGTGAGTTTTTGGAGCTCTATGTCAAACAGGAAGTTGATGTAACTGCTGGGACACAATGCTTATGATTTGATGCTTTTGTTTATGTGAGATTTGTTGACAATTAAAGGTTCATTGCACAATAAGGAATCCTAATGGTAGATATTACGAGGGCCGAGACTTCCTGTCTGATGGTGTTGAAACTTCCTGTCCTTCCTTTGTTTATCTTCCTTCACTTTCTCTGCTTCCTTCTCCCCTTCCTGACACTTTTATTATGGTTTCTCACTTTCTTCCCTCACCCTCTACAACCTTGTTTACATCCCTCTCCCATCCTGACCTTCATTCCTTCCTCCTTCATGTTCTTTTCCTTCCTTCCTTCCTTCCTTCCTTCCTTCCTTCCTTCCTTCCTTCCTTCCTTCCTTCCTTCCTTCCTTCTTCCCTTTTTTATATACCTTCTTCCATCCCTCTCCTCTCCTTCTGTTTTTTCCTTCCTGCCTCCTTGTTCTCCCTTTTTCTTTCCTTCATGTCCTATTCCTACCTTCTTCCTCTCCTCTCCTCTCCTCTCCTCTCCTCTCCTCTCCTCTCCTCTCCTCTCCTTTCCTTCCTCTCCTCTCCTCCCCTCTTCTCCCCCTTCCTCTCCTCTCCTCTCCTGTCCTTTCCTTCCTGTCCTCTCCTGTCCTTGCTCTCCTCTCCTCTCCTTCCTCCCTCCCTCCCCTCCCCTTCCCTCCTTGCTCTCTCCTCTCCTCTCCTCTCCTTCCTGTCCTCCCTCCAGATGACATAGCGGGGCCTCAGCCTGGTCCCTTCCTAGTGAGTGTAATGGGTGCCTCCCTGCAGTCCCTCCCTCTTCCTCTCCCTCCTCCTCCTCTTCCCTCACACGCCACCATCCAGCACAGTCTCAGCCTCAATGGTAAGACCAGTCTGAAAAAAACGTCATCCCTTCCTGTCGCTGGGCAGGAAGGAGAAAAAACATCCAATCACATTTATCCAACACACGTTTCAAAAATTGTATGTGTCTTCTTGTTGTCAGTTTCCTTACACACAAATTAATATACTATTCCACTTAACTTTAAAAATTGTGGACGTAGCACTCTTTTAAATGTCTGATATGTTTCCCCTGATACAGACGCCTTCCTCCGGGCCCTCCCCCACGCGGCCCCCTCCCCGATGGGCGCCCCCCCCTCCAGACAGGCTCCGCCCCCCATGCTGTGCGCCCTGAGGCGATCTGAGGCCAGCAACTTCACCGCCAGCCTGCGAGAGCTGGAGAAGGTGAGGGGACATTGTTATTGACTTATTACAGAACTCAAGATAAATATACCCTTATTACTTATCGTAGCTGCACATACAAAATATCCGATTAAAGCTGAGACTCCACAGATTATATAGGTATAGTATCATCACTGAGCGATCAGAACTCGCGACAGGGGAAGCAAACACAGACATCACAACACGTAGCATTACGGAGCAAAAACGGCACATTGTCTCACCTTAGCTGTTATTCTGATCAAAGGTCGTGTTCAATGGCATTACAACGAGAAAAAACGCGGCTGAGGGTTAATCCATAGGTTAATTGAATGTATCTGTCACTTTGAAAAAATTATTTATAATCCATAATTCCATTTTTATGTAAAAATCGGAGAGTATAAATTAGCTGCTAATAGTAGCCACCAGAGTTATCGCAGCTTCCGGTTTTGGCTATGCGTCACTCTCACTCCTTATTTGGTAAGGTGTGTGTGTATGTTGGAGTTCCCTTCGATTATATTGGCTCAAGCGGTTATAAAGAGATGTCAATCATCAAAATCGACCAAGGGGGGCCAGAGATATGGAAGATCCCAAATGACCCCAGAAGTGTTTTTTTTGTGCTAAATCTCTATAAAAAGGACACATTTAAATTGTTTTGCATCAATCTTGATACAGGGAGCTTATTATCTGTTGTAGTTTGGATTCCTAAAGCTTTTAGTCTACCATCCCATCATTGAAGGGTGGTTTTCACTATAAGTCATTTGTTTTTTTTGGACGGACACTATAATTTACATTTTTTTACTGCGTTCAATCTGCATTTACTTTAAAATAAAAACATCTATATTGATTCTGACACTTCTTACACCCAACTCACAGGTGTATCATTACTTTGAGAAAAAAGATTATTAATTTAACCCTTTTAGAAGGGAAGATATGGTCATTTGTTCTGGGCATGTCATTTTCGAGCCTGAGACCTGAAACACAGGCTCGGGGCTTAACAGGTTTGCTCTTTTTACTGCACTGTTAGTGTACAGTTTTATTATTATGCTGCTTTGTTTATTGTATTTTTGTAACTCTGGCACAACAATTTCCTTCGTGATGAATAAAGTCTTATCTTATCTCGTACATTCACTCATTTTCATTCATGTTTGTTATTCAGGGGATAGCATGTTTTGTGCAAAGTGTGGTGCAAATATTGATTATTTTCATTATAGGTGAATATGCTGAATATATTCTAAGTTAACCGATACATTCTTGGTCGTAAAAAATCAGAAAATAGTTGTTGTTTTTTAAATTCCAACGTAGTTTCTGCTTCAAACGTTTTTTTTGTCCGACCAACAGTCCATAAATCAAAGGTATTCAGTGTCCTGTCAAAGTGGGCTGGAACCAGATTTGTATTTTTGTGCGTTAAAATGGACAATGATTTGATTATCCACAGCTGTGAGATTTGTTTGGGCTAGCTTCAATTTTAGTTAACATGAGATCGAAGGGAAAGGAACGTTTCAGATGCATTTTGAATGGTTTTAAAACTCTCTGTATCTCACTGTGGAGATATCAACGTCTGAAGTCGAGAGAACTGTCTTTCCTGCACGTTGGAAGGTGTAGATTCCATGGAGTATAACAAGTAGGCTTTATTCAAGATGCAAGGCTTTTATTGTCATGTGTACGAAGCTGCAGTGTAGATATGTCAATGAAACTCAATAACATATAATATAATAGAAATAGTGCAGAATAGTCTCTTTTTTTCATTATCATTGGAGAGAAAGAAAAATAGCAGTTGTGTTTTTGTTAGTTGTAGTTGTTGTTATTGTTTTTATAAAGGTTTTGTTGTTGTGTTGTCCTCAGTGCGGCTGGTACTGGGGTCCGATGAACTGGGAGGACGCGGAGATGAAGCTGAAGGGGAAACCTGACGGATCCTTCCTGGTGAGGGACAGCTCGGACCCTCGATACATCCTGAGCCTCAGCTTCAGGTCGCAGGGCGTCACACACCACACACGCATGGAGCACTACAGAGGTGNACACTCACAGTCTCTCACTCTGTCTGTCTCTCTCACACACACACACACACAGACTCAAGTACAATCTGTCGGAGTGCTAGCCAATAGAAAAGCATGCG